CCAATGATAATAAATTCCTCCATGACCGTTTTAGGCTGGACATAAGGAAAAACTTCTTCACTGTCCGAGCCCCCAAGGCCTGGAATAGACTCCCTCCAGAAGTGGTGTAGGCACCTACTCTGGACTCATTCAAGAAACAATTGGATGCTTATCTTGCTGGGATCCTTTGACCCCAACTGACTTCCTACCCTTGGGGTAGAGGGCTGGACCCAATGATCTTCAATCCCTTCCAGCCCTAATGTCTATGAAATCCTCACTGAGGTAGAACTTAGCAGGCCATCTTTCTTGAAAGTGACACTGACACTTGGTTGTGAAATGGAATCTTCACTGCAGTGTGGACTTGTCATCTGGGATTAAAAGTGAATTATTAAAAAAATTAAAGGTTATTAAAAACTAATAGGCAAAGTAAAAAATGTGAAAAGGTGATATAAAGAAGTTAGAAGAATAAAATGTTTTTCCCATAAAAAATGTTATGAGTTCACTTTAGAAATCCGTTTTAACTGGATTTTAATTTAATTTATGGACTTACTAACCTCAAAAGTTATGAGGGAGATTCAAGGGTGAGGATTTACTAATGCAAAGCTATTTTTATTTTTGAACATACTCATGCTCTCTCAGGAGGTGACAGCGGTTTTGTACAATAGAGATGGGATTTTAGGAGCATAAATTCCAATGATTTTTCAACAAGACTTTTGCTTTTGAGTGATTTAGACTTCTTAGAAATCCAACCCTGACATCCTAAAGGATCACATCCCATAGAATTTTGTGCTGCTTTTCTATTCATCCATGACCAAGTGACCGAATTCCTGAAATTATTCCCAATGCAAAATTACTCTTGAATTTCTTCAGAGAGTAGTTTCTGGTCTGCAGATCTTCTGCAACCAGCTCACTGGGAATATTCAAAACCTCTGTTGTGTTGCCAAGCTGCATGAGTTGAAAGGTATTGTTTCCACCCCACAAATGGATGATTTATGAATATAATCAACAAAAGTTTCAATTACAAATTGCATTTTCAAGCATAAAATTCTCTAATTGGCATTCAAAATTTGCATAGTTGTTTGTTAGTTCAGCAATTCCAAATTTGATGCCTGTAAATATTCAAGCATTTGAAGTTATTTTTGTGCATTCACCTTAGTGAAGGCTGATCTCTGGGATATTTGCAGGAAGCTAACACAAAAGAAGTGTGAATGCTGATGAAACAAATTTAATATTTTGAATGAATATGTATGAAAATTGTTTGGCAGTATTCACCAATCTCTGCACAGCATATACAGGCTCCTAAGACTTCTGAAAATAAAAATCTGATTGTTGTATATGGCAGATCAATAAATCTAATACAGGAAAAGGAGGTGTTAAAAACCTCCTAATCTCTCTTATTTCTTTTCCATTTCCTAATCAGTTTTAGGGAAGGGTGACTTCTTTTTGTATTCCTACTCAGTTTGTCTACTTTCTATATTCTTGGAAATAATTTTGCTTTTACATGAGAGATTCGTAAGTATCTGATATTCTCTTTCAATTTTCCTGCCTACATAAATTCCACGTCAGATTCCCTTGACATGTTGAATGTTTCTTACTGACAATGCCTTTCATGTCTTTTTGGATCAGTCACACATTGGTACTCATACTGTGAAGTATTCTTTGATTTCATGTGAGTAAATGGTATCACAGGAGGAAGTGCTGACATTTTCTGAGCTTTCAGAATTGTATAGAGCCTTTAATCCCTACCTGTAGCTATTATTATTGACTAGTGTTGAGATTGCTAAAGGTAGTTGGGAGATTTAGGGTGCCCACAGATGTTTAGGGGAGGTGCTCTAACTCATGGTGCATTATACAAAGTGCCATGAGTTAAAGCACTACTAAACCCAACAGACATTCACCTGCCAGGTCGTGGGGCTTGAACCTGCTTGCACTGTCAGCACTGCCAGCAGATGGGGACACTCCTGCAGTGTCCCAGTGTTAGCTGAACCACTCCTTTCCTCAGACCTGTCCCCTCCTCCAAGCTCTGGCTACAGCAAAGCTGAGCTGGTATCTGTGTGCTGCCCCCATCAAGAAGCTCAGGCAATGGGTGGGGGAAGGGAGTGCCCATGGGTAGGGAAGAGGCACTCCCTTCCCCCATCCCCTGCCTAAGCTTCTTGATACCAGCAGCACACACCTGCTGGCTCACAGCTGCTGGCAGGGCTTTGCTGTGGCCAGAGCTGGGGGAGTTCCCTTACATCACAGGCCCAGCCCAGCTTGCCCCAATACCCCAGCTGGGATAGCTGGGGGGGGTCCCATGAGGTGAGGGGGCTCCATTCCATCCCACCTCCCCCCAGCTCTAGCCATAGCAAAGCCCTGCCAGCAGCTGTGCTGCTACTGTGAAAAGGCTTGGGTGCGGGGTAGGGGAAGGGAGTCACACTGCCTTGCAGGCCCCCCCAGGTGCCCCAGCAGGGGTACCTTTCCTACCTCCCTCCCCCACTACACAGGAAGGAGACAAGCGCATGTGAAAAATAACCCTTGAGGGAACCTGAACAGAAGTTCCCTAACACCTTCAGCTAATAGCTGATTTATCATGTGTTAATTTTTCATGCGATCGACCATTTTAAAAGTGCACTGCAACTGTGAATGTGCATTATGTCATGGCTGTAGTGTACTTTCAGGGACCAGACTGCGTGAAAAATGTATCTTGTGTAAGCAACCTTAGATGCATACCAACCTAAATCCGCTAGATGGTCTGGACAAGCTCTATCTGGAGTTGCATGAACACATTGGTTCCAGTGTTTCCTCTTGGCTGCACAGGTGCACCTGGCAGTGTGGCATGAGCGCGCACCATACAGTTTGCATTTGAACCCCAGAATCCCTAAACCAATGGGAAACTTCCCTGACAAAGACACTTGCATGTATGCACCTGTGAGATGAACTTGTAGGAAGGGGACATTAGAAAAACGGAAGACAGGCTGTTTTAGCATGCTAGTTGCATGCAACCTGTAGTGCACAGCTTTTTTCACTCCCTTGACCTGTTGGGACAAACAGAAGGAGGCTTATCATCCACATTCTTTGTCACTGCATTTAAACATCCAGTAAGCGAGACAATGACTGGTATTTGTGACGTGTCAGGACAGTTTTACCAAAGTTACCAGCTTAACTGCTATCAGCCACATAATGATTTTCAGTCACCATTATCTTGGGCTGGATTTGAATTGGGAAGAAAGATGAAAGGGTTTATTGAATGTTTTAATTCCTTTACATTAGTCAGTCCATTATGAAAAAAGTTGTGTCACTAATATTCTTTATGTGACTTTTGCAGATATCCAGAAAAAAAGCTGGCCCTTCATATTTAAAATGGATTTTCTACAGATTTTTTTTTCCAAATTTTTGTTTCTAGAAGTTGGAATTCATTCCTTTGCAGTTAGGCTCCAGCTTTGGTCCTGTTGGTTATGCTATGGTGGTTTTGATCTAGATAAGTGAATCCAGTGTAGCTGATTCATCTCTTGTGTTTAATTTTCATGTTAACATAACAAAGTTATATAATGCACAGCAAGGGTCCAGAGGAAGGACATGGAATTTAACAGGCAGTAGTATGAAAAATCCTTATACAGAAGAACATGAAAAAAGAAAGTTCTTGAAGCTGCATTTTATCTCAGAGGTCTAGGGACCTTTTGAGTTGGTTTAAATAAAAATTAAAGCTATTGGCATTTAAGAACCTTTGTGTAATCAGGATTAAATTATACATAAGAAACTGGCAGCTCACAAGATAAATTTTGTAGACTGGGTAATTTGAAAAAAGAAATGGGACAAGATGCCTGCATAGCCCAAAGACGGTTTATCTGTTTTGGAGCGAGAAGATCCCATGCCCAAATCAGTGAAGGGAGGCCTCTTAGCTACTTTACTGTCAATAACCATAGCTTTCATCTTAAAAATGCCTGACAGAAAACTGGCCCCATACAAACACTGTTAATAACAGTAACAACTGAAAGAGGGTAATGAAACAAAAATCTGTGGCATGTCTGCAATGGGCCTGTCTCACTCAAACAACATGAGAACTAGCATGAACCTCCATCTATAATTAGGTCCACTGCTAATCCCTTCTGCCACCCATCCCAAAGTTCAAACATCTTTGATAAATCTCCTCCCTTTCTCTTATCTGTATGCTCTGTTGGACATTCAGCTTCAGCCTGGGATCAGGAACACCATGGGGAGTTGTTCGCATATCACTTCATACAAAACAGAATCCAGGAAGTATTTGAAGTCTTATAAGAAGGTGGGTCCTGAGTTTTTCATCTTGACTCCTATCCCAAGTTAGGCAGAAATGAGAGAGATATTTTTCAACTTTTATCCTAATCTACACGAGACATTTACTGTGGAATAGACTAATGAGCTCTGCACTAAGTATCTCGTGTCAACGCATGCGGCCCTATTAGTCTGCAGGAAACTAATTAACTCCGCAGCAGGAGAGTACTTGTAAATAAAAGTACTACCTGGCTGCAGAGTTTTTTTACTTTGCAGCATTGCACGTGTAGACACTGATGCAGCCGGCTGGGACATGAGGGCCTTTCAGTGTGGAGGCTGCCTACCAGCTAGTCCTACACAGTAGCACTCTCATGCCTCAGCCAGCCCCTCTGCAGCACGTTGAGCTGGGTTGGAGCAGCCCCAGGCTGGCAGGCTGACCCCCTGCGCCCTCTGCCAGCCAGGGCTGCTCTAACCTGGCTCAATGGGCTGTGGTCCTGGGTGCATATTCAAATAGTGCACCTAAGGGCAATAACCTCCAGTGTGATGTGCCATATGTGCTGAAGTTTATTGCTGCATGCTAATAGCACATGTACATGCGCCCAGTGCCAATTGGTTTGGGCTCTGCAGGCTCTTTCAGAAATCTACCTAAGCCAAGTGGGAATCGCGAATTAATGAATACCTTTGTCACCGGAGCTGGTCAAACAATAGAAAAAAACGTTCAGCATATAAATCATTCAGTAGCACTGGAGGGTGACATTGGCCGAGGAGCATATTCACAGGGATCTGCTCTTTCATGCACAAACTATATGCATGGCCAAGGGCTTAAGGAGAGGAAAGAGCCAGTTTAAGAAACTGAGAAAACACAGAAAATAATTGCAAGTATAGATGGGTCTAGCCTGAGATTTTGTCACTTTGAATTAACATGGGCAGGCACCTGAACCAGCTGCCTTCCAAGAAGAATTCTTCACTGATTGCCCCAGCTACTTCTGCGAGAGGAATGGTGGCAGCTCGTAGCCTCTAGAGGGGGAAGAAAAAACACAGTCGGAGGGAAGCTGGTATTTAAACTTTGTAGAGTGAGAGAGAAAAGGTGTTGTTATGGTAACAAATTGCTTGTATTCTCCAAAGGAAGCACTGGCTCTGTTTAATAGGGGGGAAATGCAGGGAAGGCAAAAGGATAATATTTCAAAAAAATTTTAATGAGACATGAATTGCACATTCTCATTCTGTTGGAGTGTGTAATGGTTCAAGAGGGAGGAAGAGTGGCATTTATAACCAGGTCTTGAGTACAGCGTGCATGTGTTCTGTCTGCTGTTACTTCGGCTCTCTGGACTACGCAGAGCCCAACTTTAGACACTTGATTCCTTTGCTCATTTTGTTTTCCAAACATGCACTGTTTGTAAAATGGCCAGAGTAGGTGGCACCTTAGGAGCAGCCAGCAGTGGCATCCTCTTTTTTTCCAAGCCCTCGATATGCAGCAAGAGAGGCTGGCTCAGTCCACAGAGCACAATTAGAAAGCCAGACGGTAATCACTGCTGGAGAATTTGACAAAATGGCATGGCTAGTATGGCTCAGTAACACTTCCAAATAGTTCACCCCCAAATCAACTGTTTAAAGACGAGAACACAAAAGCGACTTCCCACACGTTAATGGGTAGGGTAGTCCACAACACCTGAGAGTGCCTGGTTCTCTCTGTGGAAAGGCTCAGGTCAGCACCACAAATGAAGGATGTTTTTTGAGGTCTGGGCAGGCAAAAATCCAGTCCTTGATATTCCCCCACCTGGTTTGAGGCATAGGAATCTGATGCTGTAAGCACAGGCCTCCAGGCAGCAGAACTGCATGGTTACTTCCCAGATTTCAACGAAACAGTTTCTCCTGTTGCCTTCCCCTACACACTGGGCATTTATTTGGCAGAGGGAAGCAGTGGTTTAGATAAGAAACACAATAATTAGGAACGTGCCAGAAATCAGGTATTAATAGAAGCACCATTAGAGGATTTATGGATAATTTAAGATGCAGCACATTCTTCTAGTGAATGCCTTGTCTGTTTAAAAGCAGTAATTGCCCATTATCTTGCAGCTTCTGATGTGCTTGGCTTGTGCTTGCATGACACATTAAGATACAGAATATATTTAAAGAACTAACAGTAGTTTAGAGTACCTGCTCACAATCTGAAATGCAAGAATCCAATAACACCGAAATGGCAGCTTGGAGGTGAGGGGAAGAAAAAGCACACACAAAGGACCGAATCAATAAACAGGTAAGTGCCCCGTAGCAAGGCGGTGGCTGTAGCTATTGTTAACTGCTTAAACTGGAAAAGACAGTTCTGCTTATCTCAAACACTAATAAATTCTGCCTCTCCTTTACTATCTGCCACTTGGTTTTTGCCCCAGAGCATAGATCCTTCTTGTTCATTGATCAAACAGAATATAGTTACCGGTTAAAGGGAAATAAAAGGGCTGTTGCATACTGAGCGAGCTTTGGAGCACAGCGCTTGTTTACCTTCAGATAGGTCTTTGGGAATGCTCTAATTTTATTCTTCACAGTATAATAGGTGTTTACTGTCCACTGCCTATTGCCGGTAAGGAAAAGTCTTTTATTGCTGCATCCAGGAGTGACTACTGGAGGCTGGACAAGATGGCTTCCTGAGGTCCCTTTCAGCCCTAATTTTCTTTGATTCTTTTCTTTTCCCCTTTTCCAGGTGCTGCTGTACAAGCCATCCTGGTTGAATGATAAGACTGTGATGCCGCATGTCAACTGCCATAGTTAATACTCTGAAGATATTCCAGCTTTTGGGGTACAATATTGGAAGAGGTCTAATTTCTTTGTCTTTGGTTAATTTGTATTGAGCCCAATGAAGTGAGAACTATGTGTGGACTCAGTTTAGTGGACTATGTAATTATTCCTTGTTTCAAGATGACCCCTTTTGGAGGAGGTGGGGCAAAGGAGGTGGTTTCTCAGTTATTCAGATGTTTTCTTGCATGGTTTTCTGCACATCATACTCCACAGCCATAAGGAACTGTACAGCTGTCCTGAAGGACAGTGGATTGCTGATTTGTGAAGACAATGCTCCCAGTCTTTTCAGCACATCACAGTCTCTAGCTTTGGGTGCTACTGTCCCCATGAAAACCAGAGTGAACACTGATTCAACTCAGGCAGGTTTGGAAAATGACAACACAGGCATCATCATGCACTCAGGTAAGACTTTAAAAGATGCTTTGTGAGTTTCTGTGCCCAGTTTAAGACACCATGATGAAGTGTGGTTTGCAAAGAGTGCTAAACTCCTACCCTCTAGAAATCAGGGCTCTTTTTAGCATCCTCAAACTAGGGCCTGTGAAAAATCTTGGAAAACCTTAAGCTTATTGACAGTACCTTATTTCTTGCTTGGAAATAAGCATTGCTGGTGAATTATCCCCAGCTCCAGCCAACACCATCCACCCTTCACACTTCCACAGGCAACCTCAAATGTTAATTAATGAAGGAATAGTCCTAAAAAGCAGGCTTGCAGCTTGCTTGGATGTTGAGTGGTGAGGAGTAATGGCAGAGCAGCATTAGTTCTACCACAGTGACACCCGAAAGACATAAGCCCTCACCTGCTGCTGTTCACTAGGTTGCATTATTGTTTTTCTTGTTAATAAAGGTGCTTCAGGTTTCTGAGGGAATCTCTCCAACCTGTACAGCAGCTGTGACTGTGTCAGACTTCCATTTTCTTGACCTTTAAATCCAGTGGAGCAGAGAAAGGCGTAGCTTATCCATCACAGGAATCAAAGTGGAATTTAGGAAGAATTTACAGAATGGATGTAAGGTAGCACAAATCCCATTTTTTTACAATAAAAAGTCTATAAAATGTTTGAAAAGTTTCCCGTAGCAAAGAAACCCAAGCTTATTGCTGGGCAGCTCAGATGCAGATGCACAACAGAGTACAAAGCTGCAAGGCTTAGGAAAGTGTCAGTTGTGCACAGGTGTGTGAAGTTCTTCACCTATTGGATTTTCATGTTCACCTTCATCCCTCATCTGTGGAGCCATGTCTGTCTTTCCCTGAGCTGGAATCGAAGGGCTGTGCTATCCCACTGAAGTAGCTTTTATCTTTTTGCTCCTGAAGAGGCCTATGGATATCAAAACTCCATGCAGCAAGCTGCCACTTCATTAGCATGTTGGCAGACAGCCCAAAGAAGTCCACCCTCACTATGAGGTCCCTGGTAAGGAGACCGCAGTAGACTCTGGTTACTTTTCTGTCTGCCAGTGCCAAGAGGCTGGGAAGGCAGTCCCAGCAGAGCAATTGTACTCTTTATTTCCTATCTGCTGAAACGAATCTTTGGTGGTGAAAAGCCTTTCTAGCAGTAAAATGAGAGTCTACATTTTTCAGAGTTCCTACAGCTCCATCCATGTCTGATGGATACATCCCCGCCAGTCATGCTATCCAGGAACCTTACTCAATTCCTGTCTCCATGGCTTTTAACTGATGGCAAGTACCCTTTCCTATGTTGATCTTTGTGATTATATGAAGAATTGAATTTGATTTAGACATAATTGTTCTAATTTGTGCACCCAATTACATATCATTTCTACATCCTGGATTTTGGCTTCCATCCAGCAATTGCAATTAAGGTTTGTACAGTGTGTGTGAGATACCAGAGCTGTCAAACATGGGATCAAAGAAAAATGTGAGGACAATTTGGAAGCCCAAACCATTTTAATGAAAATGTCCCTCATAGGGGTTTCAGTTTCAATGTTAATGACATTAATAATTTTGTGTCACACTCTTTTAGAAAGTGATTATTATTTTTTTCTTTTGCAGTGATTTGCATTCCTGCTGTTATACCAGTAATGCTGTGAGTCCATGTGGTTCAAACGGTAGCCAAACCCAATTTTAAATTCAAAATGGAAAATCGCTGTACATTATCCATGTGTTCAGATGAGCAACAATCTTGGCTTTCATCTCTGAGATGTAATATTTTCCTCTCTGACTCAGCAGAGGTGAAAAATATTCCTCAGATTCAGACAGAGCGGAGGTGAAAATTCAGGCGTTCAGAGTTGTGTAGAGCTCTAGATGCATGTAAGTGAGCTGGACTGAATCCGTGTCAGAGTGAGAGACTGTCAGGAAACTGTGGTCACAGCGACTTGGGAGGTGGCAGTTGGCTGTCACCCTGGATGCTGAATCAGTGCCCTGCTTACGATGCAGAGGGGTGTCTCTGTGGCTGCTGTCCTTCTGGGTGAGATGAGGGTGCTAATGCAAAAGTCCTGACTGGTTATGGCCATTAAATATTGCAGGGAATTTTTCATGAGCCTTAGCTCCATTGCCTAGACAAATTCCAGTGCAGGTTATTAAAGTCTGCCTCTGTTATTGAGAGTTGGATTTCCAAAAGGGCTGAGCACTCTTAATTTCAGCTGACTCTAATTTCTTCATGTGCAAAATGGGGACAATGATACTGACCTTTGTAAACCACTTGGGGATCTGCTGATGTAAGAGTGCAGGCCTAATTAGTTATTAATAAGAGCTTTAGCTCCTTAGCACCTTTGAAAATCAAGCCTTCCTTGGACAGGGCTTTTCTTGCTTCCTTCCCCAAAGGTGAGGAATAGGAGAACTGTGTGGTGGGAGCATTCAAGAGGGAGCTGCATTCCAGTACTTTATGAACTGATCCATATGCATCCTTGATCTGCATCCCCAGAGGCACACTTTCCTTTCTTGCAGTAGACTTTCCCTTTCTAGTGTCCCTGTGCTCAAGTCTTTGCTGCTGGGCACCAGTGCAGATACAGGGAAATCAACTAGCTCTTATTTTAAATTGTAAATAGATTGGCAGACATTAAGAGCAGGGAGTGTTATTTGATCATCTTATCTGACATTCTGTAAGACGCGGGCCAGAGAATTGAAGCCAGTTATTCCCACATTGATCCCAGGAGTTTGGGTTTGGCTGATACATAACATCCATAAAGGCATCCAGTCTTGACATGCAGAAGACATCGAGCTGCGCAGAATCCACCACTTCCCCTGGAAGTGTGTCCCACTGCTTAACCACTCTTACGCAAACAAAGAATTGGCCACTATTTCTAAAGGGATTTTTGTCTATCCTGAACTTCCACCTCCTGGACCTCCTGAAGCCTTTCTTGTATAAGCAGATCTTTATTGCCTTTTTTTCCTAAGAAGGGGCTAATACAATGGAGAGAAAGACTTTATTGTGATGATCTCAATGATGAGCCTTTAAATTTTCTCCTTGGAAGGATATTTCCCTCTCCCTCAGATCATTTTTGAACCTCTTGTTTCTTCTCCACATAGGAGCCTTCCTTTATGGAGCATCCACTCTGTTTCGCTTTCCCTTTTCTCCTGGGGGCACTCCAGAAAGCCATAGATGACAATGTTGATAAAGGCTTTTCTCAGTCTCTTTCAATGAGCACAGGGACATGCTCTGGAGCATCACTTCCTTAAATTGCTATTTAGCAGCCTTCAAGAGCTTGGGAAATTCAGCTTGTGAAGGAGAAGTCAGTCTATGATACATGGATGAACTTGCAACTTTCCTGTTGAGAAACCTCATCGGAGTTCCCCACCATTTGCCATTTATTTCTGATCATTTAATTACAGTCACTCTGGTTTCCTATTGTGCCCAGAAGTGACAGTGACATGGCAATCACTGGCAATAATTTCCCGAGTTGCCTTGCTCATGAACATACTCTCTGAGTTACTGCTTGCAAGTCTATGCTGTTGTTATCAGATAAATCAGTTTTGATGTATACAACTAGAAATATATATATAGTTTTAAATTGACCCCTTCAAGTTAATGTTGAGCCCCTGCTGCTCTTGAGGCAGGTGGCATCCTTGATTAACTTCTTAATGAATTGCCTGGTTATGTACGTTTCTTGTAGTTTTCTCCAAATTGCAGCAAGTAGAAAGAGCTCTGAACAGTGCTCAGTTGAGGAATAGATAATTCTGAAACCCCATGGGATGCAATTGCAGCCACGCAGCCCTCCAGAGCATGGACAGATATTCTAACAAAAAAAACCAGGAAGGAAGAATTTAAATGCACGCAGACACTGAACTCAGCTTCTAAATGCGTATGGAAACCTATTGCTAATTATCCCATGGCTGAAACTTGCATGATTTTTTAAGCCACCATTATGGCTGAATTTATACTCTCATCTGTGGTTAAGGAATAAGTTGCATCAACTCCTTTGTGAGCTCCTGAGGTATCCTCTTTCATATCTTTTCTATTCCTTGATCAGGTTCTCTATAAAATAACTTGGCAACAAGAACACTGTCTTTTTCAAGGTCAGTGACAAGCAGCTGAAGGTCACGTAGTTTGCATTTGCTTTCAGCGAAAAGGTCTAATAGACAATGGACTTAATTTATTTCTCGTAACATTGAAGCCCAGTGCATAGGTACTGGAAATGCAGCTTTCAGCCATTAGCAGATCTGACTAGCTGAATATCCATCCAGAAAACTTTTAAACCATTCTCATTTGAACCCCATGATATGCCAGGGCCGTTACTCTTTACCTGTCAGATGAGTAAGATGGCCAGGAAGGTAATTTGGGCTGTTTTCACACAAGGGGATAATTAAGGCCAAGCATTATATTCAGAAAACAATCCCTTTGGCCTCATTTGGCTGAGATTTCCTTGTTTGTTCTGTTTACTGAATACTTATGAAAAAACATAATGGGCCAATCATATCTAGTCTTGAATATGAGCCCACAGCAACTAGAAGCCAAATCTAAATAGTGAAGGCAGGTTTTGTTTGGAATACCTTACTTCAGCCCAACCAGGAGAAAATCCTATGTCCAAAGGACACCAGTAGCCTCAAAGACTTACAGTAAAAGACACAAGTGTCTGTGGAGGCGAAGTGAAATCTGGTGAGGTTGAGAAGAAAAATTGATACTGAGCTAGGGGGAAGGCAGAGTGCTGTTAGGAGAAGCAGTCTGAGCATCCAGGCATTTTACAGAGGACTTTCAAAGGAAATCTCACTCGCTGCATGTTAAAGCTTCTTCTAAGCTTGTGTCTCCCTCACTGTGCTTCCCCTCCTGGATCTAGACAGTGCTGAGGTGCTGTGTTCCTACCTACTATCACTGTGTCATCTGGAACCTTTACAAATTTATTTCCTCTTTTAACTGTGCTGGGAAGGAGCACATAAACCAAGCAGCACACAACAAAGCCTATGCACCTGGAGACTTTTAATGGCCTTCTTGAGCCGGCATCTGTGCCTGTTTTCAATCTGTAGGTGTTATACTCCTCCATGGGGCTGGCTGTATCTGAAGATGAGTAGGCAAAATTCATACAAGCATATGCTGAGCTAATTTGGAGCACCAGGTGAGGATCACACTGTATCTCAGGACACAGGAGGCAGAAGCTGCCCTCAGGACTCTTCACTAGGCCTGCGCAAAGTGGCTAGTATTCACTTTGGATTCGGCTGATTCGGGGGACAGTGATTTGATTTGGTGATTCAAATCACTGTCCTGAATCGATTCGACCAAATCTGATTTGGAGATTCAGCCACCACCAAATCAACCGAATCTCCAAATTGGCCCTATCCCCCACCCACTCTCAATGGCTGCCCTGCCTGCTTTCCCAGCTCCCGGCTCTTAACAATAACAACAACAAAAATCCCCGACTTACTGGTTGCTGCCAGGTGCGGGAGAGGGCGATCCCCGCTGGCCCCCACTGCCCCACAC